TCCTTCTGCGTCTTAATTTTTAAAATGTCATATATTAGAAGTGGTTTTTGTTACATTTTATGCAGTATTTCTGGGTGTTTGGAAGAGAGACATTTTTAGGTTATCTCATTCTGCCTTCCTGGAAGAGCTGGTCAGCTTCCTGAGACTTTGAACTCTGCATCTCCAGGGACTTCTTCTCCCTCCAGTTCTGCCTCCTACACCCAGGTCTACACCCTGGGCCCTTCAGCCACTAGGAAGTGCTTAACCTCTGAAATATGTCATAGCTCAGGCAAACTGCTCCCTAAGCCAGCAATGGTTCTTCAGCCGTGGTGATGTTTCCCTCCACCCCAGTGGGCCCTGGCAATGTCTAGAGTTATTTTTTGTTGTCCTAAGTGGGGGCCAGGCTGAGGAGGGATGAACATGAAGCATTCCCCAAAGACTCATGTAGCGAAGGCTTGATACCCAGGACACCAATGCTCGGAAGCAAAACAATAGCTGAATACAAGCTAGTATTTATTGTGTACTTACATGGATTCTCCCTATCCTTCACTGTCTCTCTGAGGATGGTACTACACTGACCCCTTACAGATATCAGGTGGTACCCACACTTGGGAAGGGCTGCCAGGCTTGCTGCCTTGGACTTTGAAATGGGAAACTAGAAAGACACAGGACAAAAATGGCTGTTTGGGGCTGGGGATTTAGCTCAGTGGTTTCGCCACCTGCTGCGCAAGCGCAAGGACCTAAGTTTGATCCCCAGTACCAAAAAAAAAAAAAAAATGACTGTTCTCCCAAGCTGCCTCTAGAGCCCCTTGGTGTTGCTCTTCAGTCCTTTTCCTCAAAGCTGCTGTCCTCTCTCTGCAGACCAGTTTGGTACAATTCCCCTGGATCTTAGCATCAAGCAACTGGCTAAGGACTGCCTGGTTTGCATGACCCTGATTCAGGTGACCTGCAGGATCCAATGGCATTTCTGATTTGCAAATTCAAATCCTCTGGGGTTTTTTTAATAGACTATTTTTAGAACAGTTTTAGATATACAAAAAATCTGAGCAGATAGAGTTCCTGTCACCAGACAGGGTCTCAGGAGGCTCCCAAAGCAACAATGGGGAACTCAAACCCACCCTACTGGTGGCATAAGTTGCAGGTTCACTGACTCCAGTCATAGAAGAAGAAGGCAGAAAGAGGCATAAAAGGATTTATTAGGCAAAATTTTAAAAGTACATACTCAAAGAAGAAGAGTGCAGGTGTTCAGAGAAATGAGACAAATCATAGTCAGGGCTGGGTATATTTATGGGCAATTTGGGGGTGGAAATCTACATAGAACTTGTAAATCCATGGAAAGGGGATTCAGCTACAGATAAAAGGTGACAGCGCTTTCTGTGGGAAAAGGGCGATGCCCCACTCATAGGAAAAGGCCTATTTTACAGGTGAATGAGGTGGTCTCTTCACAGGTGAAAGAGGCCCATTGCCAGTACAGGGAATGGCTGAAGATCATTTATAGCCAAAAAGAAATTTTGCAGGCTTATTGTGTCAAATTTCAACTGGGCTTCTGTCCTGAAACTGCAGTTTTTATTTTTAAAAGTGTGATTTTTCTTGTCTCTTTTCTACCTATCTTTATTTCTTCTATTCTACCTCACTCCCATGTTCAATCTCTGCCAGTTTTCCCTATTGCTAACATCTTGTATTATCATGCTACAAATTTGTTGTACTTCATGAACCAGTATTAATTCATTCTGATTAACTGAAGTCTATGGTTTATATTAAGAATCACTCTGAGATGGATGGGTCTCTAAATCCACCATTGCAGTATTACAAAGCATACACTGCCCTAAAACTCCCCTGTGCTCCACCTGCTTATCCCCTTCTCCCCTCCAAACCCCCAGCAACGATTGATCTTACTGTCTCTATAGATTACTTTTTCTAGAATGCCAATTACTGGAACCACACAGTAGGTGGCCTTTTCAGATTCCCTTCTTTCATTCAGCAATACACATCTAAGTTTCTGAGCCACATCTGTTTGTGACTTGACAGCTCATTTCTTTTTATTGATGAAGAATATACCACCAGAGCTTTATCTTTTCACCTATTGAAGGACACCTTGGTTGCTTCCATTTTTTGAGATTATAAATAATATTGCTGTAAGCTTTCATGTGGAGGTATTTTTGTGCACGTAAATTTTCAATTCAGTTGGGTAAATATGAAAGAATGGGATAGCTGGATTTATAGTGAGACTATGTTTAGTGTTGGAAGAAATTATTTACCAAGTGGCTGTATTGTGCATTCTTATTAGCAATGAATAAGAGTTGCTATTGCTGCCCTCCCTCACTAGCATTTTATATTGTCAGGGTTTCAGATTTTAGCCTTTCCACTGAGTATGTAGTGGTTTCCATTGTTTTTAAAATTTCCAATTTCCTAAGGACACATGATGTCAAATATTTTTTCATATGCTTATTTGCCACATTTGTATGTTTTCTCTGGTGAGATCTCTGTCTAGATCTCTTACCCATTTAAAAAAATTACATTGTTTGGGGCTGGTGCCATACACCTGTAATCTCAGTTACTTGAGAGGCTGAGGCAGGAGGATCACAAGTTTGAGTCTAGCTTGAGTGACATAGTAGGACCCTGTCTCAAAATAGGAAGTCAACAAAGGACTGGGGATATAGTCCCATGATAGACTGTCTATAGGTTTGATCCCTGGTACTGAAATAAATAAATAAACAAGTTGTTTATTTTCTGCTGAGCCATAAATATGGTACGTCTCTCCATTTACTGTACTTAGACCTTCTTTAGTTTCTCTCAGATTTTTTTTTGTACTTTTCAGTATACAGGCCTTACATAGTTTTTGTTAAATTTAGTCCTAAATATTTTACATTACTTAGTGTTATTATGTTATGGCTTGTATCTAGATGTCACCCCAAAGCCTCATGTAGTCTAAGTAGGACTTTTCAGAGGTGGCTGGATCTAGGGTGTGTGATGCTGGGATCAAGGATGTGATGCTGGGATTGATTCATGGTTCAATGCTGGGATAAGGCTGCCTCACCCTGGGTGTGAGTGTTACCTGCTCTAAGGGTGGGTAGCCTGGATAGGATATAAGGGACAGAAAGAGGGTTGTTGCTTGTCAGTCGTCACTTGCTGCTGCTTCACTACTTTGCTGCTTTGCTGCCTTCTGCCTACCATGAACTCTTTCTCTGCCACAATGTACCTCTGCCATGCTGCCCAGCCTTCAAGCCAGCCAACTATGAACTGAAACCTCTATAAAATGTGAGCAACAATAAAACTTTCTTCCTTTAGGGCTGGGGATTTAGCTCAGTGGCACCATGCCTGCCTTACAAGCACAAGGTCCTGAGTTTGATCCCCGGTACCAAAAACAAAAACAAAAACTTTCTTCCTTTAACTTTGGGTGTTGGGTATTTTGTCTCAGCAACAAGAAAAGTAACTAAGACATATTATAAATGAAAAATTTTTAAATTTATTTTCCAATTGCTTGTTTCTAGACAAATATATATGATTTTTTTGTTTGTTTTTTGAGACAAGATGTTACTATAGAGGCCAGAGTGGCCTTGAGCTTGCAATGTAGCCGAGGCTGCCTTTAAATTTGTGATTTCCAATCTCAGCCTCCCAAGTGTTGAGATTACAAGTATACAACAGCATGCCCAGCACTGATTTTTTTATATTAATCTGTGTCCTGTGACTATGTTAAATTCATTTATTTTAATGTGTTGTTATATGATATTCTGTATAAATGATCATGTTTCCCACTAATAAGGACTGTTTTATTCCTTGCTCCTTTTTTTGGTACCGGGGATCGAACCCAGGACCTTGCACTTGGGAAGCAGGCAGCAGCACCACAGAGCTAAATCCCCAGCCCTACTCTTTGCTTTCTACTCTCCTTGCTTTAATTTTTTTTTTTTTCTTTTCCTTGTCACCCTGGTTATGCTTTCTTGCAGAGTGCTGAGCCGGAAGGAATGGAGAGATCAAAAACCCTCACCAGGACAAAAGCATCTAGAAGTCTGGGACTGGGGTGTGGCTCAGTGATAAGAGTATGAAACATTTGGCCTAATAGACGGCCCTGGGCTCCATCCCCAGTATCAAAAACAGAAGCAAGCCAGATAGGAGAATTCATCATTTGAGCTCACAAGTTTCTGTCTCAGAAACAAAACAAACAAAAAAGCAAGTGTCTAGTCTTTCATTGTTAAGAATGATATTAGCTGTGAATTTTTTTTTTCTTTTTGGGTACCAGGGATCGAACTCAGGTCCTTGCACTTGGGAGGCAGGTGCCAGAACCACTGAGCTAAATCCCTGGCCCCTTAGCTGTGAATTTTTAAAGATGACCTTTATAAGATTGAATACATTTCAGGCCAGGGATTTAGCTCAGTGGTTCTGCTGCCTGCCTGGAAAGCACAAGGACCCGAGTACATTTCATGTTTTCTTCTGTTGAATTCTGTCAAATACCTTATTAAATATATTTATTATGATGACATTTTTTTCTTTATGTAAAAAATTATATGTAGTGTGTGTGTATGTGTGTGGTACTTGGGCTTAAACACAGGGACTTTTTGCACTGAGCTAAATCCCCAGACCATTTTTTAAATTTTGAGTTAGGGTCTCACTAAGTCAATAAATTGCCCAGGCTGTACTCAAACTTGTGATTCTCTGGTCTCAGCCTCCCAGGGTGCTAGGAATACAGGTCTGTACTGGCAGGCCCACTTGATTTATATTGGTTTTCATCATTATTAAAACAACTTTGCATTCATTCATGAAATAAATTCTACTTTGTCATCAGATGGTTTTGTGTGGATGTGTGTATGAGTGTTACTAGAGATTGAACTTAGGGCCTTTGCATTGAGCTACATCCCTAGACCTTTTTATTGTGAGATAGAGTCTTTTTTTTTTCTTTTTCTTTTTTTTGGGTATTTTTGAGACAAAATCTCCCTATGTAGCTCAGGCTGGCTTTGAACGCACTACGTAGCCCAGGGTGGCCTCAAACTCACGGCGATCCTCCTGCTTCAGCTTCCCAAGTGCTGGGATTCCAGGCATGCACTACCATGCCTGGCTTCTGATTTTTATTTCATTTTTTGTCTCTTGAGAGATATATCCTTTTATCTAACATGTCAAACCTATATATGTGTGCAATCCTTATTATTCTTGGATTGTTTTTTGTTTTTTCCTAGTACTAGGGATTTAACCCAGAGCTTTTGCACTGAGCTACAGTCCCAGCTCTTTTTACTTTTTTATTTGTAGACAGGGTCTCTCTGAGTCTCACTAAGTTTTCCAGGCTGGGCTCAAACTTGCAATCTTCCTGTCTCTGCCTCCCAGAGTGCTCAGATTATAAGTGTCCAGCAACATGCCTGGCTTGGATTCTGTGTTTAAAGATTCACCACAAACTAAAATTTATTTATAACTTCAAAATCAATACCAAGGGCCCTTCTGCAGGCTTTCAAGACCATGTGTATGTGTAGGGTGGCAAAAAGTTTGAGTCAACTCTCCTGGAGCTGAGGTGGATGCTGCCACACTCTGCTGGAACAGGTGACACTCTGCTTTCATGTTTCAGCTTTCCTGCTACAAATAGGTGTCCTCCTCACGGTTCATTTAGTGACACATTCTTTTGCAGTTTTGTGGGTTTTGTTGATGTTGTCATTTAAAATGTCTCCCATCTGCAGGGCTGAAGTGCTGTCTAGTGTTCCCAAGTGTGAGAAAGTGGCACTGTGCCTTACAGGGAAATATGTGCAGTAGATAAAGTTTCTGCTAAGGCAGAAAGTATAGTGTGTTGGCCATGGACTCAATGTAAAGGAGGGAAACAACAGGTATCAGTGGGGTCCCAAGACCAGGTGCAATGGCCTCACCATTGCTGATTTCCTCCACATTCCCTTCTCTTCCCTTTTGGGTTTCTGCTGGGAGGAGGGGTTTACCTGGATCCTGGAGAAGCAGCTCCCAGACGTGGATGGAGGAAGGGTCCATGCAGTAAGAGGGGGACTGTGATGCATGCACTGTTGCGTGCCTTAGGCCCCCATCAGAGGCAGAAACTCTTTACCCAGCAACAGGCCATGTGCTCTCCCTGCCTCAGGGTACACTCCCTTCCTGGGGTGGCCTGCATCCAATGACAGACAGGGATGAGGGTGTGAAGGCTCAACACCCTCTCCCTAGTTTCACATTTCCCAAGGGGATTTGCATCTCAGATCTCTTCCCCCCATTCCCCTTCTCCCACTTCAATCCTTTTCCACGGGCCTCTGTCCCAAGAGCAGTCTCTAATCAGCCTCCTGCATGTCTGGTCAGCCTCAAAGTCTTTCTCCAAAAATTCAGCCTTGCAGCAAGTGTTCTTGGGAAGCACCATACAGTCAGTCTTCCAACTTCAGGGCAAACACTGTGTGGGAAATGTGGAAGTTAGTGATGCAAAAGAGGACTCTGAAGGTGAAGTGCAGGGACACTTTTTCCACTTGATAACAGACACTGACAATGTCCATCTCCTTCCCCTGTCCCACTAGCCCATGTCCACTGACCTTTCCCACAGCCAGCAGCGAGCCTTTGCCCCAGGATTTCTCATCTCTCCAGCCTGCAGCCCTGCAGGTGGGATGTGCTGGGAGTTAATCCCAGGAAGTCATCCTTATCCAGTGACCTACCAGAGTGGCAGATCGACACACTGGGTCTCTTACGTATTTGCTAGGATAACTAGGGCATGTTTTACACCATGCCCAGAGGCCCAGGAGGACTGAGCCACAGTTGCTCATAGTAGCAACCAAACTATTATGCCCCCAGCTACCTGGCTTACTTTCTCTCTCTGGAACCTCATTGGTGCTTTCTGGGAACCCTTCTCAAATCTTCCCAGGATCTGGTTCTGGGGCCCCAGCCTGAGACAAGTGGTGCCAGATGCGGTCCTAGGGAAGCAGTCCCTTGGACTAAGATCAACTGCTGCCTGCTGCAGAGGATGAGCAGGGTGGTGGGGCCTGCAGTAGCCTCACAGTGGCTGAGATGCTCCTATGCTAGGTTGGGAAGGGACACAGGTAAAAGGGGGGCCCGGGTCTGGATGGGCAGCAGGAGCTCCTAGAACTGTGGAAGTGACAGATGATAGTGTACTGATGGCCACATCCATAGGACCAGGACCAGAGGCTCAGCCACCAGCTGTCAGGACTAGGAGCCAGAAAGCCCAGGAGAGCGTTTTTTAAAACCCATCTGGGGCTGGGGATGTAGCTCAGTGGTAGAGCACTTGCCTGGTACGCATGAGGACCTGGATTTGACCTCAGCACTGAAAAAGAAACCCATAGTCTAGCCAGAGGGTAGAAAAAAAATCAGATGGTACAGATGGTGAGAGTATCACTGCTGCAAAAGAGGTTGGAGTCACAGCCCTGGGCTGTGCACCTTTGTTTAGCCATTCATCTGTGGGTAGACGATTAGGTTGCTTCTACTTTTCACTTACTGCAAGTAATGTTTTTATGGACATGGGTGTGTGGTGCTACGTTTTTAAAATAAGCAATTGTTTGAAGAATGGAGATCAGAACCCAGTACCGGTACAGTAGCCTCCCCCACTTACTGATGGGGGATACATTCCAGGACCCCCATCCTCAGATAGTACCAAACCTTATATATATTATGTTTTTCCTATATGTACATACCTATGATTAACTTCAATTTGTAAATTAGGCACAGTAAGAGATTAACAACAAAAACTACTGATAAAATAGAATGATTATAACAATATACTGTGTACTATAATAAAAGTTATTTAAAACTTAACAGTTTATTTCTAGAATGCACTTGACCATGGGTAACTAAAATGGATAAGTGAAATGGATAAGGGCGACTAGCATTCCTCTCCTGCTGGAATGCCTTGGCCCTTACATTATATTCCATCACTGGAAACTCTGTTCCCAGAGGGAGGGAATGAAGAGGAAACACAGGGGATTGGAATGTGTGCCAGGGCCAAGGATTTTGCCTTCTCTGATGGCAGCAGCCCCTGGTCCCCATGGAAAGACCCTGGCTTTCAGGTGACTCCACATGGAATGGTAACAGGTGTGCTGTACTTGCCTAGACCTAGATAGACTTTCTTTTTTTACTGCAATTAAATTTTCTCACCTCCAGGAAGGGTTTGAAAATTAAACTCTGCTCTTCCTCTCCCTTTTCCTTCCAGATATAGACTAAATTTTGGCCCCCTCCCATTTAGAGTTAAGCTCAAATGCTCTATCTGGGAGTTCTGTGGATTAGACGGTGGCTTTTTGCATGTGCTATCCTCAGTCTACTGACTCAATGGCTAGTCTCTTCCAGAAACACCCTCACACATGTATCAGTGATGGAGCAATAATACACAATAAGACAGGCCCTTGCCTTGCCCTGGCCTTGCCTGTATGTTTTTTTTCCCACAAAATGTTTTGTTCCAGAAATGTAGTAGTTTGTGCGGCACAGTGCTCCTGCCCAATGTATGAAAATTATTTTGTAACTGTTCGAACTGTGACCTCTCAAGAATGTTGTTAGCTCTACCCCCTTATAGAAATGTTCTGTTAACTCCACCCCTTTCAGGAAAGTTCTGTTAACTCTGCCTCTCTGATTCTGTGATCATGCTCACCCAGTATGTGTTTCAGGAATGTTCTGTAACTCCGTCCCCCTGCTTCAGTGAGCATGCTCGCATACCTCACAGATCCCTATATAAGGAGGCTTCCATTTCTGCTTAAGCACTCAGACTTCAGAGTAGGAGCACCTCAGAGTCTACCGGTGTAATAAAAGGTTTTTTTCCACCTCTTTGAGTGATTTTTGGATTCTCATGTCACCAAATTGCTGGAGCAGTAGCACTTGAGCTGTAGCATTTGAGCTGTAACATGGAGCCATAACACTTGGCTATAGCACTGAGTTGTTCTGCTTTGCCACAACATTAGGAAATAAAGTTTATGCAGCAGCTGTCTGGGCATCCTGTGGTCTAGTCACATTGACACCTAAAATTGACCATTACATGGAAAGAGCCTAAGCCCTTCCTTTCTGCCTTGTTGAGTAAGCTTCTGGGATGCCTAGAGGCCCCACCTCTGAAGCCATCTCCACTGTAAATGAAGAGCCAAGGCTGCTGGTCACCCTCTTTGCCTGGTCACCCAGCATATTCTGGAAGAAATCATCTCAATTTGTGAACTAAGAAGTGCCACCCCTTGGAATTTATCAAGCCATTTATCGTGTACAAATGAGGTACAACTTCAGGGAAGAATGATTATGAAATTTAGCAGAATCTCTGGTTCTACATAAAGCAAATATATCCTGTCCAGAGAAGACTCAAGTCCGGTGTAGGCCAAACAGCAGCCAGGAGGCAGCCCAGGGGCCTGTGCCTGAGATGCTCACATGCTACTAGAAGCTTCCAGATGTAACAGAAGCTGGGCCAGTTTTTTTCTTCTCCCCTTAAATATCACTCAGTGATGACTGGCACTATCAGTGCTGAATGAAAGAACAAAAATCTCCAGGTTCCTCACCTTGAACCTCGAACTTGCCCTGTGAACCCAGGTCATTCCCAGGGCAATATCTAGGAAACACCCAAGGAAAAACCATGTTGCAAAATTCACTTAGTCAGTGACAAGTCATGGAAAAATAAAAGAAGTTTTCTTCAAGTAGTAGCCAAGTTCACTTCATTTTTTTTTTCTTCCAAATTTCTCTCCTCTTTATTCTAGGGCATAATTCACCGGCAGTAATTTGCACAGAATTTAGATTTACAGTTGAAGAATTTTTGCAACATGCATCTCTGGGTAATCGGATCCCAGAGACGATTCCATGTCACCAGAAAATTTCTTCTCTCCCTATTTGGGTGATCTCATCTGGATGGAGGCAAATGATTTCTTGGGTTTTGATCCCCACTGAGTAGGTATTTCCTGTTCTATGACATCATATAGTTGAAACCAAACTATTTTCACTCCATGGATTGCAGCTTCTTTTTCTCAATATAATGTTTTTGGAAAAAAAAATAATGTTTTTGAAACTCTTCCACATTGTTGTGTGTAATGGTAGCTCATACCTTTGTATTTCTGAGCACGATTCCATCATGTAGTTAGCCTATAATTTGTCTCCAGTCTTTGGTTGACTGGCATTAGGGCTGTTTTCAATTTGAAGTTGCTTTAAGTACAATTACTACAAATATTAAGAAAGAAAAAAGGAGCCAGGGGTTTAGCTCAGTAGCACTACGCCTGCCTCACAAGCTCAAGGTCCTGAGTTCGATCCCTGGTACCAAAAAAAAAACTCAAAAGAAAGAAAAAAGGAAGGAAGAAAAAAAGAAAGAAAGGGTAAAAGAAAGCAAAAGGGAAAGGAGAAAGGACAAGAAAAAGGAAGGAAGGTTGGCCGGGCATGGTGGCACACGCCTATAGTCCCAGGACTCAAGAAGCTGAGGCAGGGGGATCACCATGAGTTTGAGGCCAGTCTGGAGTACATAGTGAGTTCAAGGCCCATCTGAGGTACATAGTGAGACCCTATCTCAAAAAAACAAAAAAAGGCCAGGGATTTAGCTCAGTCAGTGGTGCTGCACCTGCCTCACAAGCACAAGGTCCTGAATTTGATCCCCAGTACCAAAAAAAAAAAAAGAAAGGAAAGAAAGAGGAAGAAAGGGATGAAGAGAAAGAGAAAGGAACAGAAATCTGTTGACCATAATAAAAATCTATAAATCCATACTGATATCTTTTAAAAAATTTTTAACATTCCATTGCTATAACAAAATATCTGAGCTAATCAATGAATAAAGAGGAAAGATTATCTTGGCTCACGGTTTTGCAGATTCCGGTCCACAATAGGAGGCCCTGCTGCTTTGGGCTCTGGGACCAGGAAGCACTCCATGGCAGGGAGTGTGTGGTGTGGCAGTGCAGAGCTGTTCATCTTATGGCTGGGACGTGAAAGAGAAAGAGGAGAAAGAGACTGAGGACCCACAATTCCCCTTAAGGACACACTTCCAATGACTTACACCCTCTCATGAGCCCCCACCTTTTAAAGCTTTTACCTCCCAGTAGCTCCATGGGCTGGGGATCAGTCTTTACCACATGGGACTGTGGAGACTATTCCAGATCTTACCTATTGGGCCTAGTAATATAATTGAAAGTGTGATGAGGAATGGAATAGCTATATACTCTCAAAGCAGCTCCCCACTGAAACTTACTAAGGGAAAACAAATGACTTTCTAGTGAAGGAGCCTGGTCAACAGCCTATAACAAAGTGACCCAAGAGAGCACTGTCAGTAGTGGGTCAAACTGGAATCTTCTTCCATAAGCCAGGATGCATGAGAAGAACACAGTGTCACTTATGTGACATTCCTGCCAGATCCATGACCTTGATATAATCAGGAGGAAACATCAGAAAACCTAAACTGAAGGGTATCCTATGAAGTAACTAACCTGTCACTGTCGAAAGTGCCAAGGTCACACAAATCAAGGAGAGAATGAGGAACTGACCCAGGACGGGAGGAAACGGAACACACCTGACAACTAAATGCAAGGCAGGATTCTGGGCAAGTTCCTTTGCTTCTAAGGATATTATTAAAATTATTGGAAAAACTTGAATGGAGTTAAAGATTAAATGGCAGAAACTGGTTAGGTTCTTCTAAGGAAACCAGTTGTTCAGCTGCTGATGTAGGAGGTATGGGGTGGCAAAACTGGCTGCAGAAATGAGCAGATGTCAATTACAAGACCCTAGGAGAGAGCAGGAAAAGTGGGCCCGAGTTGTCAATTTCAAGATTCCAGAGATCTAAATGTATAAAAGGGAGAACTCACTTGCTATCTGATCTCCCACAATAAACCCTCCTGGGTCTCAGACCCAGGATGTACCTTTGTTGTTACTTTCTATACTTTTCTTTCTGTCCTATATTTGCTCTGCAGAACTAGTTTTTCCCTTACCCCTTAACCTATCATTTTAAAATAAATTTTGGCAACATTTTTACTTTGTCTCTTCCAATTTCTTGTTTGAGACAAGAAAGACCTGGAACATTTTTTTGTTTGTTGAGCTATTTTTAAAGTAACTACTCAGTAACACTGCTGTTGGTCCTCACCTTAGTTTGAATGTGTCCCCCACAGTGGGAAACTGAATCCCCAAAATCATATGCTGATTGTACTGGGAGGTAATTAGGATTAGCTGTGTCATGGGGGTAGGGCCCCCATGAGGGTATGAGTGGCTTTACAAGAAGAGGAAGAGAGACCCCGAGCCAGCACACTTGCAATCTTGTCATGGGATGAATCAGTCTGAAGGCAGTCACCAAATGCTGGTGCCACGGTCTTGAACTTCTCAGACTCCAGAACTCCAGAACTGTGAGCCAATGAAATCTATTCTTCATGAATTTCCCAGTACTTGGGTATTCTGTTCCGGCAACAGAAAATGGATTAAGACTGTCCTTCCCCTTTGTCTACCTGCAGATGTGAGTGTGAAAGAACAGGGCTCGTTAGAGCTGGGTTTAATGGGGCGTGTGATGGGAACCCCTAAAGAGTATGTCCATCGGTGCCACAGGACTTCACCTAGTGCCCATCTGAATGCCGCAGGTAAGCACCTCACACCCAAATTCCAGGGCACCTATGAGCTTGAAAGAGATACAATTTGTGGGGTGGGTGGTACAGAAGCCCCACTGACTGAACAAGCTTCAGTCCCCAGTGCTGGGAGGGGGCTTAGTGAGGCCCCTTACACCTTCTCCTATTCTTTGCTGCAATCCAGGAAGGTTAACAGGGTCCTTCCTGTCCTCTCCCCTCTCTCTCCTCCCTCCCTCCCTCTCCTATTTCCCTGAATATGAATCAAGCCTCTCCACTGGTGCCCTAGGGGCTGTTCTAGAAGCTGGAGAGACAACAGCGAACAAGATAGACAAAGCCCCCTCTCTCAAGAAGCCTATGGGATAGAAAATAGAGAGGCAGCTGGTAGACCTGAGAATAAGTCAAAGATGCAGGGTGCAGGCAGTGATATTTGCTAAGGAGAAAAGGCCTGACTGCTGTGAAGGGAGAAGGGGAAGGAGGTATTGGAGATGGGTGACAGGAAGAACATCTGTCTGAGAAGCAGTAGTTTGCAGGAGGAGGGGCTTTGCTTTTATGTGTGCCTGTGTTCAATTTTAGCTGTGCTGTAGTTGACATGCCTATTAAACATCCACATTGTAGTGTCTGAAGTTCAGAGAAGTCCAAGCTGCAGACAAATTTGGCCATCTTAAGTACAGAAATGATCTCTCTCTCTGTCTCTCTGTCTCTGTCTCTGTGTGTGTGTGTGTGTGTGTGTGTGTGTGTGTGTGTGTGTGTGTTTGCTGCTGGGGATGCAACCACAGCCATGGACATGGTAGGCAAGCACATTGCCACTGAGCTATAGGCCCAGCCTTATAAAGGATCTTGAAGCTACCAATGAGATTATGTAGGCAGGTTGCACAATTGGTGCCTTTTCAGAGTAGAGGGAATGGCAAATAGGCAATATCATTTGCCCGAAAACTTGCAGCTACGGGCCAGGGATTTAGCTCAGTGGTTCCACTGCCTGCCTCGCAAGCACAAGATCCTGAGTTCAATCCCTGGAACCAAAAAAAAGAAAACCCTAAAAACGAAACATGCAGCTAGTAAATTGCACACTGGGGATTCCAGCCTGGGTCAGACTCATACTAAGCCCTGCTGACAGAGAGTTAGTGATACTCAGATATATGGCCAGGAAGCCAGCCAGCCAATCATCCAGAGGGTCACTAGAATGTCCAGGTAAGGACCTTGTTGCCTACCACTTTTAAACACTTTATGATGGAAGAGCAGTGTTACCTTGGGGTAAGATGTGTGTACAGAGTCCAAAAGCCAAATACCACTTTACAGCAAGAAGCAACCTGCCCCCAGCCTGGAACTAGCATATGCATGAACAGCAGTCATTCCCAGTGAGCACAGGATCCAGCAACCAAAACCCTGCCAGCTGGTCTTTGGGTAAACCTGACATTTGGGAAAAGGAATTGGGAGAGCAGAGCAGGGTTGGTGGCACCAGGTTGGGTGGCTGGAGTGCCCCTGGGCACACCAGAGCTGGCCCTGCTGGGAAGACTGGCATTGACTCTGTGGCCTCAGCCAGTGCCCTGGCAAGGATACCGCTTTTGGGCCAGCCCTAGGCTGGGCTGTCACTAATAGCCTCAGGGTGCTTCCGGGGCTGGCTGAGCCCCTTCCTCCAACTTTCTTTAGAGTTGCTAATCCCTTCAGTCTGGCCAGGCTGAGTGGGGGCCCACAGCCTCTGGGGCTCAGCCTTTCCTTTGTGGGGCATCCAGAGGCTCCACAGTGTAAATCCCAGTGGCTCCTGTCATGTGGAGACTGGGCAGGTGCTTGGCTACCTATTTCCTGTCCCCCTCCTCCACCCCTGCCAGCTGGCCAGAAACTCCTCCAGCTGGTTTCTCTCACTGGGGAGAAGTGCAATTTCCAGTCCATCCCAGAAGGGTGGTTCCCAGCTGTGCTCTCTGCTCAGCTCAGCCCTGCCTCCCTGGATCAGGACCCTCAAAGGCCCCCAAAGGTTCAGCATAGCTCTGCCAAGGTCCTGAGCCCAACTCAGCTCAGGACTGCTCAGCTAAGGCTGGAAGAGCAGCAGGCAATGCAGGGGGTTGGTGGAAGGGTGGCCCAGAACTGCAGAGCCTGACAGGAGGCTGGGCTGGGTTCATTCATCTGTTTACCATGCCAGGCTGGGGACCCATCCTGGCCTCTTGCAATGCAATGCCCAAAACACTAGGACTGGCACTGGTCAGGGAACAGATGGAGGCATTGGCTTTTGGGAGTTCAGGGGTTTGGGTCAGTCTGAAGGATCAATGGAATCCACTGCTGGGTTGGAGTGAGCTCTGGAAAGCTTGGAGTGGGGAGGACACTGGCATTTGGAGCAACCAAGGTGTGGCTGGACTTGGGGACTGGGCACCAAGACACTGGAAAGTCAACATAGGGCCATGAGTGCCCAAAGGAAGCAGGTCAGGTGTGCCCACCTCCCATAGCATTCAGTAGTGGGAGTGGCTGTGGCAGCCACGGGTCTCTGGAATGCAAGTGAGTATCTGGAGCCAAGCATTACAAAAATCTTGGAAAGAGTTTAGTGATAAACCAAGAATGAACACGACCAAAGCAATCGCTGCTTACTTGTGTCTGCAAATAAGAACCTGACAAGGTGGATTCTGATACCATCGATGGCCTGCTGTTTTCCAAGTGAAAGAGCAGGAAGCACACCGAAACATGCCAGAATCTGTGACCCACCCCTACCCCCAAGGTGGCCTGTGGAGAAAGGAGACCAATCTGGAACGGATGGATGAGGGCAGTTGGAGGAATTCTGGTTTTGAAGATCGAGACCTATCTCCCCTGCTGGTAGCTATGTACCCACCCTCCTCAGCAAGTCACTGTGTCTGTTTCCTATTGGTAGAAGGAGTAAGAAACATCGTGTCTGCCACTGAGGTCGAGGAGGATGGAAGATGAGGTAAGGTGGTGTGAGTTGGACTTTAGGGTAGCTGTATGACGGCCATCCATTGGCAACCTCAACTTCTTGGAGGTCGGTAACATGCGCTTTATTACAGTATTTATTTGCTGTCTGCATTTTTCACCAGACTATTGAATAATAGTCTCAAACCGTGACCAGTTGTACCTCAGTTTCCCTATGTGTAAACCGGGAACCACAATGCTTCCCACCTCTGGAAGTTGTCAGAAGATGCAAAAGAGTGCACCAGAACCCTGGAAACAGTGCCTGGTAAGGGCTGAATACATGTTACTTTCATGACTGTCATTCTGTACACTTTATTATCCCACTGCAAGATCTACGGCGTGATGCAAGGCTTTGGAATAATATCCCTGGGTTTGAGTGCAAGCCACTTAGTATTTTCTTTCACTGCCTAAACTCCTTGAGGACTCGGCCGCCTTTCTGGTGCTCCAAGAGGGCAAGAAGGGACAGAGGCGGAAATAACACGGTATCATGGAGAGGTTGCACCCAGTAGGTGCTTAAGAAACGGCTGGCTGACAGCAAGGAGCGGCCTGACCAACGCACGCTCCCTCCCTCCCCTCCTCCCGTGTTGTAGTGCTCGGGATGCCCACATGGTCTTTAAGGGTGTATCTGCTCCCAGCGACACCCATTCCCACAACAAAGAAACTCGCCTTCCCGGGCCACCTCCCCTCGAAGCAACCAGAAGACGCAGTAGGCGAGAAGCGTCCCCGGCGCCCTGGGCTGCCCCCCAGAGTCCGGGCTCGGGAGCTGTCCCTGGTAGGTGCAGGTGTTCGAGGGCCCTGGGGCGCACGCGGGGCCCTGCAGGGCGGCGGGCGGCGAAGACAACTCGAGAACTAGATGGCGCCCGCGAGGCGCGCGGCGGCACCGCCTCCACCCCAATTTAAAGGGCAGTGAGGCGGAGGGATCCTCGTCCCGACGCTCGCGCGATCCCTCCGCTGCGAGACGAAGCGACGGCAACGACGCGACTCGTTCTCTCGAAAGTCGCTCTTGTGCCTCCGCCGTCGGGAGCCGCCGGCGAGGAACTTATTTCTCCCTGGCGTGCTTCCACCTCACCTCACAAAATCCCGTCGAAGTCACCGCGGAGGCCAGCGCCGGACGGGAGCGCGCACGCCAGCTGCCGACGTGGTGTCCCTCCGCCGTCGGTCACGGACTCCTTTTCGTGTCCTTCCACCGGACCCGGGCGGTGTCCGGGTGGCTCACCGTGGGCAGCGACGCGTCTGGGACGCGGACGGTGAGGCTCTGGGGCTATGAGGTGAGGACACCGGGTGACCGAAGGAGGCACCACGCGGCGCGAGGAGGCGGGACGCGGCCCCTGAGGGCGGCGGATGCTTTTCGGACCGCGCGGCTGCGCGCAAGGTGGAGGTGAGACCCCGAGCGGCGGGGCGGGGGCGGCCGGGGGCGG